CATGACTTTCGGCCGGTGACATCCCACAACGCTCAAAAGGTGATTCAGAAGCATCCTTGAGACTTGCACAGTTTTCAGAGGTGCAGAGCAGTGTAAACAAAGGCAGCATGAACATGGCGATAGATTTCCGAGTGAAGCCGAGCATGCATGCATTCGTTCATCTTCCCGAGGCTGCTTCACTGCTTTCATAGCTTAATTACTTTATTTAATTAGTTAAGTGTTGTGTAATAATTAATTAGCTAGGATAGTTAGTTAATTAGTTGGTTTGTATTATGCTTTCCATGAGGCTATTTGTTTATGTGATATAACTGCCTGAATGCCTGTGGGTGAAGGTCGGATTGTTTGAATTGGGACAATTCATTGAAATTCGCATTTTAGCCTAGTTGTGAGTAACAAACTTCAAACAGTTTCCAAACAAACGGGTATGCAATGCTTTGTTCCAAATTAGGCGATCCAGTCTATACTTGTGTGTTGTGCGCATCACTTAGTAAATTCTAGCTAATTAACCGGAATAAGAACACATGTGTTTTCAAAAACTAGATATCATGCTTAGTACAGGCCGATCTTTGATCGGGCGAGCGGGGGTGCTCATAGATGACCTTTCCCAATCGTACCCAAGTTCCCGAGCCAAGGCAACTTTGGTGATGACGGACATGTGGCCTTAGGCACGAGTCAGGGTTTCCTAAATTCCCCCAAAATAAAATATTTAGGTGGTGCTGTATCTGGCAAAGCAGTCCTTGTTTGGCACTTCTTTCTTAAAAATCAGTTTTCCAAAACAATTTGCCGGATTTGGACTCTTTGGTGATTTATCGGTCTCGCATCACGCTTTGTGGGATTAGATTCAGAACCGTGACATATGAGTCTGAACTGTAAAAGTAAGGCCCTCGAGGGCGCGTCTACAGTGCTGATGGGGCTCCTAATTCGAAGGCTATTTGGCCAATCGTGATATCCACAAAGGGCGCTCCGAATCTGGAGGCTTTATCGGCCTAAAGACGTCATGCGCCGATGGGGCTCCGAATCTGGAGACTGGCCAATTGTGACATCCATGAAGGGCACTCCAAATCCAGAGGCTTTATCAGCCCAAAGACGTCATGCGCTGATGGGGCTCCGAATCCGGAGACTTTACTTGGCCAATCGTGATATCCATGAAGGGCGCTTCGAATCCGGAGGCTTTATTGGCCCAAAGACGTCATGCGCCGATGGGGCTCCGAATTTGAAGACTTTATTTGGCCAATCGTGATATCCATGAAGGGCGCTCCGAATCTGGGGGCTTTATCAGCCCAAAGATGTCATGTGCCGATGGGGCTCCGAATCTGGAGACTTTATTTGGCCAATCGTGATATCCATGAAGGGCACTCTGAATCTGGAGACTTTATTTGGCCAATCGTGATAGCCACGAAGGGTGCACCGAATTCGGAGGCCTTATCGGCCCAAAGACGTCATGCGCCGATGAGGCTCTGAATCCGGAGACTATTTGGCCAATCATGATATCCACGAAGGGCGCTCCGAATTTGGAGGCTTTATCGGCCCAAAGATGTCATGCACCGATGGGACTCCGAATCCGGAGACTTTATTTGGCCAATCGTGATATCTATGAAGGGCGCTCCGAATCTGGAGGCTTTATCGGCCCAAGGACGTCATGCGCCGATGGGGCTCCGAATCCGGAGACTATTTGGCCAATTGTGATATCCACGAAGGGCGCTCCGAATTCGGAGGCTTTATCGGAACACTTTTGAACTGGATTTGGCAGTGAGTAAACAAGGATCTTTGCATTACAAAAGTGATGTGTGTACACGTTGAACCATTCAGAACTAGTATCATTCCCCACAAGTCGGGTTTAATGATAGAATTTTCATAAGTGCGTTGAATTCCAAGGTCGTGGGAGACTCCTTCCAGACATGTCTTTAAGCCGATACGCACCTACCCCTGTGATCGAATCGACCTGATAGGGGCCGTCCCAGTTGGAGCCCAATTTTCCATCAACCGGTTTCCTGGCCGCCGAAAGTACTTTCTTCAGGACCAACTCTCCTGGTGTATAGCGGCGCATCTGAACACGTTGATTATACGACTTGGCAAGTTGTTGCTGGTATCGTGCCATGGAGGCCAGGGCACAGTCTTTTCGTTCTTCCATTAGAATCAAATCCAAAGCCAACATCATGCCATTTCGGCCCATATCAAAAACTTGCGATTTCAAGGTTGGGTGGCCGATCTCCCGGGGTATGATCGTCTGGGTTCCAAAACATAAAGAAAACGACGTTTCTCCAATGGATCGCCTCGGCGTAGTTCGATGTGCCCACAATACACTTGGTAATTCTTCGACCCATTTGCCCTTAGCTTTCTCCAGCCTCTTCTTGATGCCGTCCAAGATGGATTTGTTAGAGGCTTTGGCTTGACCATTGCTCTAGGGGTAAGCCGACGTGGAAAAGTAGGGCCGGATACCACACTTTTTGCACAGCTCTTGGTAGACACCACAATCAAACTGGGTGTCGTTGTCTGAGATAAGAGCTCTTGGAATGTCGAATCGTGTTATGATATTTCTCCACACAAAGCGCTTGACATCAGCATGCCAAATGTGCATTAATGCCTCCGCTTCGACCCATTTTGTGAAGTAGTTTGTGGCGACGATCAAGTATCGCTTGTTGCCCGGGGCCCACGGCAATGGTCCTACAATATCAAGCCCCCACTGGGCAAACTGCCAGGGACTGGTGATAGAGCTTAACTCTTCAGCAGGCAGATGGGTTAATGGGGAGAACTTTTGGCACTGTTCACATTTTTTCACATAGCATTTAGCATCAGATCTCATTGTCGGCCAATAATACCCCTGTGTTATAGCTCGATAGGCCAAAGAGCACCTGCCAGAATATGCGCCGCAACTGCCATCATGTATTTTCGTCAGAAGCTCTTCAACTTTGGCTGAATGCACGCATTCTAGGTGTGGGCTAGAAAGGGACTTTTTTGTAAAGCTTTCCTTGCGGATCCAAGTAGTAACGCAGGGCTTTGTTTCACAGCTTGTGCGCTTCTTTCTTGTCCTCTGGGAGCTGTTCGGAAGAAAGGAATGCGGCGATGGGATCCATCCAACTCGGTCCTGATTCTATGATATTGACCTGGACTTCCACCGAAGGACCAATGCTTGGCTCCGGGATAAAACCCACCTCGATGGTCCGTTTGATCTCTGAGTTAATGGTGGAGGCTAGGCAAGCCAGGGCGTCTGCATGCGTGTTCTGATCACGTGTTATCTGATTCAATTCATGATGGTCAAATTTTGCTAGCAAGGAGTTAGCCGTTTTCATGTAAGCCGCCATACGGTCATTTCTTGCCACGTACTCCCCCTTCAACTGATTGATCACCAGTTTTGAATCGCAAAATACAAGCAAACGCTGAGCACCCAGAAGATGTGCATTCCACAAACCAGTTAGAAGGGCTTCGTATTCGGCTTCGTTATTTGATGCTTCGAAGCCGAGTTTGACGGCCAGCTCAATTATTGCGCCGTCAGGAGCCATGATTACAACTCTGGCTCCATTGCCCCGCTGATTGGATGACCCATCACAGTACAGCTGCCAAATGTCCCCAACATAGATTCTCTAGTTCGGCTTAGGTCAAATTTCATCAGACTTGAAATCGGCAAGACCCCCGGTAAATTTAGCTACAAAGTCGGCAAGCACCTGCCCCTTGATTGAGGTTCTAGGTAGAAACTGAATGTCGTACTGGCCGAGTTCAAGAGCCCACTTTGAAATGCGTCCTGATGCTTCTGCACTGCGTAGTACTAATCGGAGGGGGTAATCTGTTAGCACCCCGATGTTGTGCCCTTGGAAGTAATGCATCAGTTTTCTTATCGCCATGACTAAGGCTAGGATGAGTTTCTCCAGAGGCAAGTAGCGTGTTTCGGCGTCGACCATTGCCTTGCTCACATAATACACTGGCCGCTGTTTTCTTAACTCTTCCTTAATCAGTACGGCGCTGACAGCCCGGTCAAAAACTGCCAGATACAAGATGAGCGGGTCGCCTGCCGAAGGTGTTGTCAAGAGGGGAACTGATCGAAGGTACATCAATAAATTAAAAATTAAAAAAATCAAATAGAAAAAAGAAAAAATCATATCACATCACCAAACTCATCCAAAACTCTACTGCTCTACAACCTTCAACTTGGAATATGAAGACTCCATGTCCACTGGTCAAGATAGAATTTTTAGGTTGAGCTGGTTGCGTAGCATGAAACAAATACATTATCCAGCGTCGACCTTCGAATTAAGAGAAGATCTATAGCTAGATCTTAAAATTTTAGGCATGAGGGTGGAGAAGGTAAGACAATGATGATCAGACTGGTGAGGTGAACGTCAAATTTAGAGAAGGATCAGAGAGAGGGAGATCGGAGAGATAGAACTATTAATTATCGTCTCCCACTACCATTAAAGAAAAATATAGAGGAAAAAAGTGAGAGTTTTAGGGTTTTTATGAGATATGTCAAAGTGAACCATCAACTTATTAATAAAGTGCAGCAATATAAACTTATACACCATGTTTGTTTGCCTCTTTGGGGAGGAGGATTGGTTTAATAGTCCGTGAGAACCATCTAAAGAGTGCTTAGTTAGAGATATAAGTGAGGGGATTGGCCATCCCCTTGGACTTGTAATCCCTCTATTGGTAGGACTACCAATGCCATGGGGAGGTTGGAATTAGAAATTAAGTGACACTACTAGAAAAAGGGGTATATGACACAGAACTTTTTGTGACGGTATATGTTGCTGTCGCAAAAAGCTGACTTTTGCGACGGCAAATATTTCGTCACCAATGGTCACTTATTGCGACGGTAGTCTCAAAAAGAAGGGAGCATATGTTCAATGGTTTTTGCGACAACAAAACTATGGCCGTCGCTCATTTTTTGCGACAATTATTTCCTCCTAACGTAAATATATATTTTTAAATTTTTTGTTTACAACAAGCATCATTGTGTCATCGCTAATAGCCACAAAAAGGCTCAAAATTCCCAAATTTATAAAACACTTGGCGCCTCTGATATTTTCATTTTTCCCTCATCTCTCTCTCTCTCTCTCTCTCTTCATCTTCCATCTATGAGTTCACTCCCGCTGGCATAAGTTTGCTGATCCACTTTCACCAAGCCGGCATCGCCGCCCACTCTCTCTCGATGTCGCCATCGATCTCGGTCAGTACATAGATATCACCTCTCTCAGAGCTTTAGGAGTCTTCAACGTTCAATCGGTACCTCTCTTTTACTTCCTTCGAAAACCCTACAGTTTGCAATTTGCACTCATCTGTTTTCATCTCTCTTTTACTTTCTTCGAAAACCCTAGAGTTTGAAGGTAATGACTCACTCTTTCTCTCGGTTTTAATTTAAGCATTTTGCCTTTGATATTTGTGTTATGAATTTGAAATTTGTAAAAACCTAGAGCTTGAAGGTAAAGGTTGAAGTCCCGTAGAATAATAAACTTGTGTTGTTAATTTCAAAGTTCTCTCTCACTTGCACGACCACACAAATTAATGATCCTAATTGACTTTGTAGCCTAGTTAATCCAGGATTGGTTGAATTTGGTTCTATCCCTCATTCTTTCAATTTGTTTGAGTTTGGTTTGATGTATCAGGACATAATTTTTTATGGGAATATTAGAAACTACCAATTCCTAATACAAGTTTTACTTCTTCTACATGATTAATCTTATGATTCTGAATCTTCATGTGACTGAGAACGTATTTTACTATTTTACCGGACAGTTGAGCTGCTAATTCTGCTTTTTTATTCATTATAAGTCATGAAATGCTTTAGATTAATCCCAATGCCAGGAACTCTACTACCTGGTTATTGCTCTTTCAAAAGAATAAACACAAATTGAAACAAAATGTGCAAAACCATTTTATGTCAACGGTCTTGAAATATCCAGCAATGTTTTCTCTCTTTTATTGCAATCTCAATGTTTTTAGGGAGCCTATAGCTGTCTAATATCCATCTTTTGTCCCATGGCCAAAAATTGATTTTGATGTCCACTGTGATGAATTAGGATGCAACTGCATGCCTTGTTTCCTCATAGTGCATTCATAACAAGATTTAGTTAACATGTATCTATCAATCCCATGGGGCCAATTGACAACTCCAGGTTCACAATATTCATGACTGGTTTAAGCTATAATGTGGCATCTAATGAAACTACCCAACAATAGCCCAAGCTGAATATTAGATATAGGTGCACAAACAACTAAAAGTCTTGAGCCAGGAAAAAATAATAAATAGTGCTAAATACTAATACATACTTAGGCAGGCCCAATTAAAAATCAACCTCAAAACAAATTGAAAAATCAAGTTCAAGGAGGAAAATGATTGAGGAAAAAAACTATGGTATTTGACTTTGTTAGAAATATCTTTTCTTCCTCTCATTTTGTTAGAGATACATGCACATATAGATCTAAAAAGACCCTAACACATCACTTCAACCACAATATTTGATCATAATGACTTGCCCCGAAGTTTTGAAAACCAACCTTATTATAATTTATAGTAGTATTACTTAACAATAATTTACAATTGCGTGGTCACCTAAGCTTGTTTTTTGGTTCAGTAGGTTCGTCTGCTCTTTCTCTGTATCTCACTCCCCATCCATGTATGCTTATGTATGTTTGGGTTGTCATGTTTTACTTGTGAAAAAATTTTACAGCACACCTAGAAGAATTAGATCAACTTCTGAAGGCAATTGCTCATGTCAAAGAGTTGACTTTACTCACAAAAGACTACTTGTCTCATTTAGGGAGTGCATGTCAACAAGAATTTTTGCTGCATATTTAAATAAAATTGGTGTTAAAGTTTGCCAGGTATTTGTCTTCGGATCATTATCTAGGACTCTCCGGTGTTTGAAAATCTGTTTTCTTCAATGGCCAATGAAATAATTAACCAATTCCATACTGAATAATGCTGCTAGGCCTATGATTTTTGTATTATGTTAATTTGTAGTCAAACTTGATGATTTTCTAATTTAGGATGTGAAAATCCCTTCAATATCTCTTACTTTATTATTATTATTATTATTATTACTATTTAGTTATGTTTCAGTACTTGCTTAATCCCCTTATATTAAATTTGAGGTAGACTTATATATAAGACTGATGTTAATTGACAATTTTTGCTTGCCCTTATACGAGATAGGTTTAGTTAAACCAAAAGGGAAAGATTATGTGTGATACAAAAATGGAAAGGGCTATGTAGGTTTTTAATATTGTGATTGGTTTTTACAATTGTAAATTTTGTTGCAGTTAAATCTGTTTCCTCTGCTTAAATGTTTATTGATTTCTTGAGTTCCAATGAAGAATTATGTTGCAGAGTTGTCTATTGGGATTTCGCTTGTGCATGTATGTCATTGTCTGAGTAGGCTCGATCTTCTTGATACCATATTATCAATCTATTATGCATAACATGTTACATCTAAAGCTGTTGCATTCAATCTTTCAACATGACGAATACCTAAATCTTCTGTGATTAATTATCTATTTGCTATGCTTTTTGGTAAGCAACGAAGGCAAGATACTGATGATTACTTCTTGTTTGTTTAATGAAAGCCATATTGGCAGCAAAGGCAATAGTCTTACCTCAATGAAACGTCTATAATGAACCATCCTGGAAAGTTGTTCTTTTTGGTATAACGAACTCTATTGGAAGCCAGTCATTTCTAGTTATTTCCTTCTACTAAACTTTCAGATAATTGGTTAAACAATTTCAGTATTAGTTAACGCATATACTATTGACATTTTTCTATTGCTTTTCCAGCTGGTTAAAATGTCTATTGTACTTTTAAGTGCCTTGTTAATGATTTCTATGATCATGACTAATTATGACACTATCATTTTGCAGTATGACGCATTTGATATTTGTTTCATAACAACAGATGACTTCACAAATGTGGATATTCTAGAAGCAACTTATCCAGCTGTTGTAAAGAGGTTACATAGTGATTGGATTAGTGATTCTGCAATTCCTATTGTTACTGGCTACCTTGGGAAAGTCCTCATGCCTCCAATTACATTATAGTTTTCAACTTTGAAGGAGTCATTATCTGCTTGAGACTTGTCCATTTGAGGGATTACAGTAATGATATTCTTTAACCATTATGATTGCAAGGCTGGAGATCTTGGGTAGTGACTACATTGGGTAGGGCTGGCAGTGATTTGACAGCCACAACCATTGGTAAAGCACTTGGGTTGCAAGAAATTCAGGTCAATGTTTACACTAAATATATGTCGAAAGTACATGAACATAATTAACTAGTATGTGAGCATATGAACATGTATGAAACAGTGTGTGAAAGTGTTTTCTTGTGAGCTTACAAGATTGATGATAAGACATGAAATTGATGTAAGTATGATAGATTTGTTGCATCTTGACCCATAATTGGAGGATACATTATTTAATTACATGCATAATGCATTGCATGACATGCGGTCACTATCTAACAACAAATTTAGATTTCATGCTAATGGCACATTTAAGGGGGTTTGTAAGGACAAATTTAACTTCATATGCATGGATACATATATTTATGTAAAGATTTAAATATTTTGTTGTCATAATTTATTAATAAAATTATACATTATATATTAATCTCCAGCTCTTTGTGATGAATTAGGAATTCCACATATAGTTGAAATGATTATTATACTAAATGCTAAGGGAGGGAGATTATGAGAGAATTCAATTGAATCGTATAGTTGAAATGATTATTATACTAAATGCTAAGGGAGGGAGATTCTGTAGAATTCCTAATTCATCACAAAGAGCTTGAGATTAATATATAATGTATAATTTTATTAATAAATTATAACAACAAAATATTTAAATCTTTCCACATAAATATATGTATCTATGCATACTAATTTTTTTTTTCATTTTTTATTTTACTTTGACGAAGGAAAGAACCGCCGAATAGTGAAATGTACAAATTTAAGCTATGTGTGTATGAAATAAATGGCACTAGCAGCTCACCACTCACTGACCATGAAAACACAAGATACGTGGCCCTTTTTTTTGTTAGAATAAATATCAAATGTTTTACATTTTTTGTAAGCTTAAAATTAATTACATTGTAAATGTTTTTTTTTTTTTTTTTTCTATTTGTAGATGCAACCCTTTGAGTATGTGATGGTATCTTTGCATATCGATATTGAAGTTTACAATCTTATTTATTTATTGAAATAAATATCAAATATTTTATATTTTTTGTAAGTTTGAAATTAATTATGTTGTAAATGATTTTTTTTTTCTTTTTGCAGATACAACCCTTTTAAGTACGTGATGATATTTTCGCATATAGATATTGGAGCTTACTATTGATATCAAAACAAGCTATAAAATATATATTTTTTTTATTTGTATTGTCCATACTAAAAATTTGAGTTCATGAATATAAAAAATAATTAGTATTGTTGGAGGCTGTTTTATATATTTTTATAAAGAATATTTGGTTGACAATTATTATAGGGTACATGTATATTATTCTTCGTATGTGATTTTGTGAATGTGAATTTAGATGTCGATGTCGATGTGGATGTATTTTATTTTATAAAATATTAATAATTTGTACGGGGAATGAATTAATAAAATATATATTGATTTTATTAAAATAAATTTATTGCTTACATTTCCTTAGTGACTGACGGGTTAACCTGTTGCATATACATATTAGTTCAAATCTTTTGCGACGATTCAAACTGTCACAAATAAATCGTTTGTGACAGTTTGAACTGTCGCAAATACGGTATTAATTTAATTTCACTTTTTTGACGACGTTGTAGATCGTTGCCAGTAATACTTTTTGCGACATCAAATACCATCGCTAAAAAGGTTTTTGGTGACGGCAATCAACATCGTCACAAAAAATGAAGTTTTTTTCCCTCTTTTGTGTCAGGTTAAACCGTCGCAAAAACTATTGATTAGCCGTCACTACAAGAAAGCGACGGCTTATAACCGTCACAAATATCTTTTGTCACGCCCCCTTTTGCCACCCCCATTTCCGTCGCTACTCCGTCGCAAAAAGTCTTTTGCGACGGCAAGTGCACCTTTTGCGACATTCATGACGGTCGCAAAAGCTCCGATTTTTAGTAGTGTGGATTAGTGAATTTTTAAATGATTTTTAAGCAAAATTTATATATTTTAGAACCAATATATATATATATATATAATATTAAAGAAATACTAAAATTTAAAAATATTAATTTTATATATTAATATTTTCTATGATATTACCAATCTAGTGATGTACAAACAAATACTATTTATCCTACATCTCTAACCTAATACCATTACAATAATAATTTTCCCAGTCCATCACTGGAAATTATTCAACAATCCCTGAGTCCCACGTGTCTGTATTCCCTAACCAATCATCATTCAATATGCCTATACATGTTCCCCAATTAACCAACACAATACCCTACTTACCCACCTTCTCCACTAATCATAATATTATGAAATACCATGTGTCTATTCTTCAAAATTACTTCCATTTTATGGAATCAAACAAACGTGACCATAAACCCAACACCAACAAACAAAATCCCCAAAATCAAAAATAAACAAAGCAATACAAAAAGACCATCTAATGAATATAAAATAATCAATTTTTAACTTTAACAATGATTAATCACTTAGGCTTGTTTTGTCACAAGTTAAAATAATTTAAAAGTAAAAAAAAAATATCAAAATACTTAATTCTTAAAACAACCCATAGTTTTAACGAAAATTAACCTATAGCGTAGACCACATGAATTGGTCTCTAATTTGGAAGACTGTCAGTCATGAAGTGCGTAGTCTGGACCATTAATTAATTGGTAATGATGCTTATTGACTTACAAGTCCTTAAAATATGTATTTTATTGACTTGCAGCCAATCAACCAAACTATTAAGCATCAAGTTATACTTTGAGCCCTTTATTTCATTGCCACAAGTCACAATTTCAAGATGTCTAGCATGAGAAGAATATGTTGTTTGTTTATTTTTTTTCTTGCTTGGTAGTCTCTTGGTTTTCTTGCTTTCATTCCCGCTTGTTGGAAATACACTTACAGCTGGCCAAGTAATAAGAGATTGGGAATTCTTAGTCTTCAAACAAGGCCTTTGGGTTACAATTCTTTAGCCCAGACCCGGAGTCCCCAAGCACGCTACTTGGGAATTCAATATATGAATATCAGTGTCAGTGAGTATGAGATCAGTGGCAGAGATCAGGTAAAGATGGTTTCGGTTTGGGTTGCCAACCGTGGGAATCCCATACCAGATTCCTCTGGAGCTTTAAACTTCACCCATGTTGGGAAACTGGTGCTTACCAACTCTAGTGGGACTTTCATGACTATAAATGCTGATCAACAAGTTTCCATTAGTAGTACAAGTGCAACACTACTTGATACTCGTAATTTGGTTATGAGAGCAGGAAAACATAGGTCTTGTTTAGAAAGTTGGCAAAGTTTTGATTACCTGGCATGAAGCTGGGGTTATTTAATGCGTCGAGTACAGGTCAGACTGTGGACCGGTTTCCCACATCATGGGTGAGTGATCATGTTCCAAACATGGGGGCATTTACATTAGGTGTTCATCCAAGCAACACCGGACAACTTCTAATATGGAGAAGGGGGCTTATCTACTGGCGCAGTGGAACTTGGAATGTGTGGGGATATATTTTTAGGGTCCTGCCATGTGGCTGAGGTGTTGGCCGAGATGCCATGTGACACCTCAGTGTTGCCGATATGATTGTGGTATTGCCGAGATCTTATGTGGTAATACCTAAATCCAAGATATTTGGGTAGAAGACAAGAGTCCTAGTTGAGTGATGCACTTAGTTCGAATAAGGGTGAGGTTGTTGAGTAGTTCATCCATATCTGACTAAGAGTCCGAAATAAGCATTATGCTTGAGTCCTATGAAGTCAGACTTCTACAGGATGAGGGCACTATTGGCCATAAAAGTAAGGCACCCCCGTAGGTCAAAAGTACGCTTTTGCTTGTGCATTGAGTGTTTGTTTGATATCTTTGAGAGATAAGTTAACTGACTTGATCGTCGGAGTGCCCCCGAGTGGACGAGCCACCATGGTATTCTTATCTTCTTGTCGGTAGGTACTTGATTTAATGTATTCTATCGTATGCTCTCCATCTAAGTTCCCTAGATCTCGACAGGAGATCTGTTTGGTTGTGAGGTCAAAAATCAACACTCATAATTTGGCTCTATCTGTGGGAATTTAGTATAGAATAGATGACTAATGCTAGACGAGAGGTGAAAGTCGGGGATGACATGCATAGTGAGGAAGAGAAGTACGTAGATCCCAAAGCTGGAGGAGGAAATGATGACAAAGAAGTGCAGGAAGTAAATCCTGACGCCAACAATGTTGCAAGGGGCTGTAATGCCCCAAGAAGAGGCAACCAAGAAGAATACTACAATGAAAGCGACTGCTAGGTATGGAAGGAAAGACGCTTGAGAAGTGATGACAAGCTGCAAGACTGGGCGAACAAGTTAACGGATCTACAGACCGTGGTGAACTTTATGAGGTAGAGCAAAGCGATGTAAGCCTTTACTAGAAACGCTGACTCCAGCAGGAAATGTCAATGCCCAGAAGGAAGGACTGGCTACAACGCCAAAGTCCTCCAGCATGAGAAGAGAGCGGGGAATTCACATCGGAGATCCCAGAATGCTGGGCCAACATAATCGCGGCTGAAAAAGTCCCTAAGAACTTCGAGGACTAACGGAACCTAGGTTAGGGGATCTCAGCAGGTCAACGGGTTTGCCCTCTATTTTAACGACGAGGTAAATGTGGAGAAGTCCAAAATGATGCATCCCAACACAAGAAGCAGCATGCTGAAGAGGTTGAAGTCAACCGCTAGTTGAGTCCCCGGATAGATGAAGGAAGATTTGAAAGATTACTTGCAGCGAAAGGGGCAAGACGCCGAGATCACATCCATTGCCCAGCCGAAAACACCTTTCTTCGTGGAGCTAGATGCATTTGAGGCACTAAAGAGATTCAACGTACCGAGATTCTAGATCTATGATGAGAAGTCAGACCCAAACTTCTATGTTGGTTTGTATTTGAATGTGATGGCTTTGTGGAGTAGGAATGAACAAATATTCTGCTAGATGTTCCCATCGACATTTGGGGAAACAACATCGAACTGGTTACACAAATTGCCAGAGGGATGTCTGAAAAGCTAAGAAGGCCTGGCCAAGATGTTTGTGGCCAGATTTGTTACAAATCGATTACAGCCATTGAGAGTAGATTCTTTATTGGCTTTGAAGATAAATGATGGCAAAGGCCTTAGGGAGTACAACAAGGTTTACAACTGGATCCCGGCTTATAACCAGGAACTTGCAGGCATGTCTTTTAAGA